GCAAAGGTAGCTTTCAATGTTGTACCTTAAAAATAAGAGAAAAAAAGTCAAGAAAAAGAAGGGGGAAACCACACATCCCTCTAGATCCTTCACACTGTCCAGGTAACAGGTTCACACTACTTTTTAATCACCTTTTTATCTGGAATTTTATTTGGAACCTTATTTATTTATTTATTTATTTATTGAAACATTTCTATGCCGCCCCTTGCCGAAGCCTCGGGGCGGCTCACAGCATACAATAAAATACAATAAAATACAAAAATAACAATATAAAATAAATAACAATATAAAAGAAGTCGCCCTGGCCACTTCCCCCACCAACCCACTGCAATTGGGACTACGTCAGAATCAACACCCACGTCTCTTGCACGTTCCAGCCCCACAACCTCTTGGACAAAGTGCATGCGCCTCCGTTCTCCACACTAAGTCACACTTGCATTCAAATACAAAGAATGCTTTTCCTACGTAAAAGAAAGAACAGAGGCAGAGTTTTAAAGGGCCCTTCAAATGCCATCCGTTTACAAGTTAGGTAGCAAGGTGGCCAAAAAATATCTCACCCAGTCTTTATAGCCTGACAAAGAGAGAACAACCCATTCCAGTGAAGAAAGCAGATCCGATCCTATAGGTTTCCATGAATCTGCTGATCATTCAATGAATCCTGATTCTCGATTGGGGACCTGTGAGCTGCCTTCCATGAGGAGACCAACCTTCTGATACTTTCGGCTGCCTCAGTGGCACTGGGGGAGAAAGGGGGTAATTTCCTTTGGGGCTCTGCCGCATCCCTTTGTTCTCTGTCGCCCTGGGCTGGTTGGCAGCCCTCATCCAGACTCGAACACATTAAATTTTCCTGGACGTACTTAGACCTTCCAGTACGTTTTTGTTCATCCCATCCATTTCAGGATATTTACCAGTCCTCGGGATAATGCTATCTAGACAGGAATTCCCACTTGGGTTTTAATTCCATCGTAGGTTCACCACAACCTGGGCACTAAACCTGTCCTAGCATTCGTCTTGAAGAAAGGAAGCACCATAGAATAAACTCAGTGCCGCTCCTATGGGGCTGCTCATGACTGGTTGTGCTGGACAAACTGCAGAGGAATCCAAACCGAAAGAAGCAGGTCTGACGTGCCCTGCGTGGTCTTTCCGTGCAATTTCCCTCCGGGAACCCTCCATGAAAGAAATTAGGAGAGTAAGTACTCGGAGGAGGGCTTTCTCTGCGGTGGCGCCCAACCTATGGAATTCACTCCCCAAAGAGGTCCGCCTGGCACCGTCGTTACTGGTTTTTCAGTGCCAGGTAAAGACCTTTTTATTTGAACATCATTTTAATTGTTAAAATATATGATCTGGCCAGGGCAACTTCTTCTTCCTTCTCTTTTCTCCTCCTATATTCTTTACTTATTTTATACTGTTAATTTTAATTTTATATTATTATGTTTGTATCTCAGTGTATTTTTTGTATTTTTGTATTTAGTGGTAATTTATTATGTTCTATTGTATTTCAATGTATTTTATTGTGTTGTAAGC